ACATGGTTTATTTTCTCTTAAGAAAAATGAAGAAAAACATGTGTACATATATATCGAGATCACGAACAACAAGGTATATAGATAATAAAGAAAATAACATCAGAAATAGTAAGTGTGTAGACCTGCGACATCATTATATGATGAAAAACGTCGAAAGATTAAGAGCTTAAAAGTACTCGAAAAAAATATATATTTAACAGTCTGTTAAATCAAGAAAAAGCTCTTTTTACAATGTATTTTCTTTGATCTTTTGATGAACAATATTGCTTATTCAATTATCTTCTGTATGCTAATCTTTTAACGAGATGATGACTAAATATTTAAACCTGTATTTTATTTCATAAAAAGAAAACAATTAATTTAATTTGTTCGATATTTTTTAATCCAAATTCCATAAGCTTGAGCTAAATCTGTTGTTGTAAAATTTTTCTTATAATAATCAACTAATGGTGAAGTCTTTTTTGATATATCCATATCATAACCGGTTTGTAAATCATTTAAATTAATCATAAGTGTTGCTTGACGAGTTTTTGTACTAGTAGCTAATTCTTTGGCATAATCAGTAAAATTTTCTTTCTTATCATTAAAATATTTTTCAGCAGCTAATGCTAATAGAACTGTTAGTTTCATTTTCTTTGGGTAATAATTTTTTAATGTAAAACGATATGGACGAAATAGAAAACGTTCACGATCGAGTGATGGAACTTTTAATGTTAAACCAACACGTGGTGAAGCAATAATATCTTGATTTGTTTGAGATTTACATGAACGTAAATAGATAAATTGATTTTCATTAAAAACATGTAGATTTTTACTTAATTTTATTTCAACAAGTTCTTTGATTGTTTCACTATTACATAAATTTAATATAGCATCAACAACTAAACAACTTCCTTCATAGATTTGTTTAGTTTCTTTATTTTCTATTGATCGAATAAGTATACCACCGTAGGAAGTATCATTTAGTGAACCAAATGTTATATCTAAACCTCTAGAAAAAAAACAAGGGCTTAAAAATAGATGTATTTAATTTTATTTTACTT